AAATCATAATTGTTAGATACCAAAAAACCCCAAAACTTTTCCTCCTATTTTCTCTCTTCTTTTTCCTCTCTTTTCCCCCGCCTCTCTCTCCCTCTTCTCCTCCCCTCATGGCCGACAGCCACCGGTGCCACCACCAACCACCGGCAGCCAGCAACAACAACCGGCGACCACCAGCCGGCCACCCTCCTTCCCTCTCTTTTATTTTTGTTTCGGTATTGTTATATAAAATAAAAAAAAAATTAAAAAAATTAAAAAAAAAAAAACTCTTTCTCTTCCTAATTTAATTCTAGTGTTTGTTATTTTTAAAGCATGATTTTGATTATGTTTTGATATTGATTTTGGGTATTTAATGTTGTTAAATTATTCATATAAATTTCAGATTTTTATTTAAACAAAAACCCTAACTTATAAACCCTAGAATTTGGGAATTTATTGTTTATGGTTAGAGTTTGATCCTAGGTTGTTGTTGTTGTTGTTGTTGTTGTTGTTGTTGTTGTTTGATTAATGATTTAAACATGTTTTTAATGAGTTTAAATCCCTCAAATTAATGCTGGAATTTAATTATACACACTACTTTTTAATTATTGTGTTAGGGTTTGATTACCCATAAAAAGGAAAAGATTTTAATTAATGATTTAAATATGATTTTCTAGTCTATTAGTGATGTTTTATATTAAATAAGTGTGTTGGAATTTTACTTAAGTCATAAAAACTAAGTCTTTTTAAAAGGATTTAGAGTACCCACTTTAAGAAAAGGTTTTATGGCTTTTATGTCATTAAATTGGGCCAATTAGTAAGGTTTAAAGTGTATTATAGCTGCTAGAAACTTGTGAGAATAGTGGATTAATTAATTATAGTTATGTATTTTTATTTGTAGGAAGCTTTGAGCTAGGAGAATTCTAGCGAGTGTGGCCAGTTTAGGCACTATTCATGGTACATATGTGCACAAGAATATTTGTGTATGCGTAGTATCATGCTAGGATTGTAAAGTATGATTTAAGTGTTGAATTAGTAGCATGTTTGGTTGATTATATGCTTGGAATTGATGTTGGTTGAGCATGAATTATTATGCAAGCATGTGAATGTGTTATTTGAGGCATGATACAAGTTGAATACGTATGAATCATAGAAGTATGTTTTATTTTCAAGTATCAAGAAAGCATGAATTTAATAAGCAAGGCTTACGTATGTTTAAAAGAGCTAAAATTAGAATTATTGAGCATGATTCGTGAATTTATTTCTCACCCATTTAATATTGGTGTTGAGTCAAGAAGTTAGTTTATTTATTTACTCGCTCATGTAAGTTGAGTTCGAGTCAAGGAAGTTTAGTAGTGCAGTTTATGCACCAAAGTAGTAATCGTGCAATTTTGTGCACAAATCTAGGCATTGAACCTTAATTAAAATAAATAGTATGTGCTCACTAATAAATTCAAGAATGAATTGAAAGTATGTGTGGAATGTTGTCATGTTTATTTTTTATTGATTGGTTAGAGTCATCACAAGTTAAATTGGTAAATCACGTAAAGTGTAAGAGGATACGCACCAAAACTCTTGGAATGTATATACCTTGAGTATGAACATAACGTTGTGCTTTCTTTTATTAATATTATGCGCTGGAATTCCGTCACAAGGTGACACTAATTAATACTCGCTTGGTTAGCTCCCAAATGAGGGGTCCCTTATTCTTGAGGGATAGTTAAGGAAGGAAACCCGTTCGATGCGTAATCCAAAGCTAATATTTAATAATTAATATTGTTACTTATGAGTCAAAAGTAAGTTGATTTGTGATTGTATGGTTAGCATGTTTTATTTATCTATTGCTAGAATATTCATGTTAGTGTGGTGCATATGTACTCAACTTTTGCTGATTCGTACTTTCGTGTTTGTGTTTGGCTTTCCTTTGGGTTGACCCTACTATGACCTATTTATATGGTGAATAGAGGGGTTGAAATAAAGAGAAATTAATAGATACTTGAAGAATGAAGAGCATGAAGGGAATGCGTGCCGAGAGTTACTTGTTTTTCTTAGTTTGTATATTTTTGAATTATTGATTATTGTTTGTGGACTAACATTATTGTGATTGTTTTTAATTGGTTTTTAAGAAGGGACATGTTTGAATTGGTTCTAACTTGTGAACGATTTAATTCTACTTTTGTTTTGAGGTTGTGAACTCAAGTTTTATTTTAAAAGTTAATTTATGTTTTAAACTTCCGCTGTGTGACTTTGAAAATTAGCCTTAACCGTTATCACGGTAGCGGTAATAATTTGGTTATTTCCTAAAAAGGGTTTTATTTAAAGTAAAATGAGTGTTTTAAAAGAAGGAAATTTTCAGGGTATTACAAAATTACATAGGTTTTCAATTGACATCTTTAATTAGATAGTTTGATCATTAATATTTTCAATTTCACATTTAAGTTAAATAAAAAAAATAGAGTTTATGGATTATTTGCATTTAAATGAATACAACAAGATTATATGCGATAGTTTTTATCCTTTAAACATTATCATGTTTATCCTTGTTAATTGTGACTTGAAATCTAGTGCAATGACATAGGACCGACTTCAAATGCACATATCTCTCAATTCAGAAGTGATTCCTCTTCTATTTCCTAACAATCCTAATATCTAAACTTCAATTACGTAATGTTAAATTTTAAAATCCACCCAAAAATATTTTTGAATCAAAAGACATATTTTAGCTATATTGTCAAATACTCAAATTCCATCCACATACTTAATTCATTCCTAAACCTTAGTTGCTTTAACTAATCTCTTTTTCAATTCTATACTACGACTCTATGAGCTGTGGCGGAACCAGAAAATTATATTAGGGAGACCAAGTTTGATATTAATTTTTTTCACAAGGCCAAATTATTTTTGATATAGAGGTCCAAGTTTGTAATTTTATTTATTATTTTTTTTTTAATCTTTTTCTTATTACAATGCACAAAGAAGTTTCAAAGCTTAAATTTTTTTTTTAAAAGAAAAAGGTTGCTTAATACTAAGAAAAATGAAAATACATGTATAAATCCTAAAGCCCAATAACTGAATTCTTATGGTGATTAATACTTGTGGAATGATTTGAGTAGTTAAATTAGCAATACAAAAAAAAAAAAAAAAAAAAAAAAAAAAAAAAAAAAAAAAAAAAAAAAAACACTATAGCAAAGATTAGAAGCAGGATTCGAACTCCAATCTATAGTAATTGCAAGATTCTCTTTGCAAACATCAAAAACCAACTAGGCTAAAAAAACAATTAATAACAATGTGCAAATTTTTTTTAAAAAAATTAAGCCAATGGAGAGGCCATGGCCTACCCCAGCCCCCCTTAGCTCCGCCCATGTCTATGAGTGCATATATGATAACAATTGGGGTGAACTAACGATCATTAAAATAAGCTCATATATCAATATCAAGTGAAATGGATATTGAATTTCTAGCACACCTATATATAAGTATATATAAGCAATTTTTTATGTCGCTTCACAACTGAAAATTTTACAATAACATTCTTAACTCGACCATATTTAGTAAGAACTTTATACCTAAAGTTCGTTTAAGGTATACTATTGTAATCATATAAAGTATGAAATTGTAGCTCTTTTATCAGGGTATATATATAGATCCTAATCATGTAATTAACTACGGGGTGCATGATATGAAGATATATAGCTAATTTTTAATGGTCTAAGCCTCTAAGGGAAGCCACAAAAAGCAACTTAATGAAAATCTTTGCCCAGTTATGTATAGTAGTTGGCATGCAAAAATATATTAGTTGCCTAAAAAGAGCAAAACACTTCAATTCTATGAGTAATTTTAAAGTTGATAAACTATCTTTAAAATTCTTTTTTGTTTTCACACTTTAACTTAACTATTAAGTAAACTAGCTAACAACGCAAATTTACTATCTACATCCATGGTATTTTCACACCTATATTCCTAATTTATTAACTTACAAATTAAGCTAAACAAAAATAACAACAACAACAATAATAATTTAAAATTTGAAAAATAATTGATCAAATAGCCGGCCACCTATTTCCAACAGAGTCACAAACATTCAAATAAACAGAAAAACTTTCTTAGAAGACAACCCACATAACCATAAAACGACAACCTTACCACTCATTATTAGTCACTACAATTAACACTTCATAATCATTATTAAATATTTATAATAGAAAGTTTTATTTTCAGTGTAATATAATACTTGTATAATGTAAGGTCATACTATTATATGATCTGTATAATATTAACAACTTTTATGTCCCGTTATTAGTCTAATTAAGTAAAATAAAATTAGTAGTCCCCTTATAATCAAACAACACCAAACCACCGTCTATTAATCTATTTCTCCAACAACGTGCTAATCATAACGGTCCACTTACTTTTTATATTTTTTTTAATACTATAGTATTACCAATATAGTACAAACGTTGAAATATTATTTTTTAAATTTCCAACCGTTGGAAAACTAATTTTTTCCTCCTGAAATTAACGTCCACAATAGTTACCCTACACCCTACATTAATCACCGTCCGATCAACACGCCAGCTTTAGAAAACGAGTCGTTTAATACGTGGACGGTTCAGATTACATGTTGGAAAAAGTATGAGATTTAACTTTTTTTTTTTTTAAATTTATGATATGAAAATGAAAACGGCTAGGATTAAGTGTGGGCCACGACAGGTAACGTGGTATGAGTTGTCAGTATATTATTAGTTACATTCACAATTACAATTATTATTAACTCTATTCCAAACAAAATTAATTAATTTAGTTTAAATAATTTCAATTAACAAAATTAATCTCTTTTATTTTTATTTTTTCTAACTCGTTAAAACCCTCTTTCTTTTCTCTCTCCTATATAAACACTTCCTCCCTCACTTTCTCTATTCATCGCACTTCCATCAATCTCTCTGAATTCCCCAATTTTCTCTCTCTAAAACAACTTTCAATTTTCTCTCTCTAGAAACTTCATCTTCAACTTCATCAAATCAACAATGGCAGGAGCAATCATCGCAACGATTTTCTCTCTCCTCGTGGTGTCCACCATAGCTCAAGCTCCCACCGGAGCTCCGGCAGCATCTCCGATTTCACCACCAACTCCCGTTGCAACTCCTCCAACAGTGACCGCTACTCCACCGACAATGGCCGCAACTCCTACCATGGCCGCAACTCCCACCGCATCTCCCGTTGGATCTCCTCTCTCTTCACCACCATCTCCACCAACTGAAGCTCCCGCCGCCGGTCCCGGAGTCGCCTCCGGTCCAGGAGCTGCCGCCGCCGGTCCAGGTGTTGCCGGAGGTCCTGGTATGAGCCCAAGCGCTGGTCCCACCGCTGACAAGTCAAGTGGTTTCAGAACCGCCATTGCTGGTGGATCAGTTGCCGCAGTTGTTTTGGCTTCCGTGTTGATGTTCTAGATAGATCGAGAAATCTTGAGATTATCTCTCTCTCTCTTCTTCATTTTTTTTTCTCTCTCTTCACTTTTTTAGGGTTTATTTATTTTTTTAGTTCCTCGATTTGCGTATATTTGTTTATTTTTGTTTTAATTGACGGGTGGCGGTTGATGGACGGTGGTGGTTATTGTGTTTGGCGGTGTTGAGACTTGATTTTACGGCCCAGATTTCATTTGTTATTACTTGCTATTATCATTATTATTATCATCATTATTATTACTATCATTATCATTATTGTTAATTATTACTCATTTTTACTGCCCTTAATCCCTCTCTTCACTTCAATTTCACTTGCATTCTCTTTAATTTTAAGTCTGATTATTGTTTTCAACTTTTCATCCGAGCCGCAAAACAATGGTGTTGACGAGATTCGATTTAGTTGGGATTAGAAAACAGAGTAGAGACATAAGACAGCTAACGAAGTAAAATTCTAAAAAATTCCAGGTAGAAAAGAAATCGTATTCAAAGATTTATCTTTAAAATGATATTTTGATCGGTGGAAGTGGTTAAGAAAAATGAAAAAAGATAATGGAAGAATTTTACTTTATATTTATTTTTTAAGAAAGAAACAGGTGTTATGTTTAACACAAGTGTTGGGGGAAAAGATAGAGAGCACAAGGTTCCAAGTTTCCAACTAGTTTCCCATGTGCCTTTGCTTTTAGTAGCTGGCAAAAAAAGGAGAGAGAAAATGAAATTCGAGGATTTTATTTGATATAAATTCGATTATGGTGTTTTTATTCTGTTGTCACTGCAAAAGGAAGAATATTTATGGTAACACCAAAATAAACTTTACTAAAAGGAAGGAAGAAGGATTCCTTTGTTCATTATTTATGGCTTTGGTTATGCCATATTTCACCACTTTTTTTTTTCTCTTTTTTTTTGTTCTCTATTTGTGTTAACTAAGTTTGTTAGTATGATTGTAATAAATTCGACTACGTACTTTTTTAGGTTAGTTTTGGTGAGGTCTAGCATTAACGATTTGAATTGATTTGAGTTGGGAGTTTTGGTTAACTTGATCTAAATAAAGATAGTACTCCGTATTTAGTTGGTGCTTCCGGTTTCCCAACCAAGTAGCGAGTTTTGGTTAACTTGATCTAAATAAAGATAGTACTCCGTATTTTAGTTGGTGCTTCCAGTTTCCCGACCTAGTAGTCTAGTACAATGTGGTTGGAATATGTGAGCTCTATTAATGAAACCTAGAATTTGATTCTAAGTGTTTTCTTTTTACACATTGTCATAATAACGGCAAAATTTGCATTGGAGGTTAATTTGAATTTAAATTTATACTTTTTTTTTTTTTTTGCGGGACCATTACACATTCACACATGCCGAATGTAAGTACTTGGCAAGCTAATTAGTATGAAACATAACATCAAAGTTACAACAAATGAAATTTGTAAACTATAGAGTAATAGAAGTAAAATAAACGTACAAAAATTTGGTAAAATAAATTGTGGGGTTGGAGCAGGCACAAAGGGGGGCACTAGAAGCATACGATGAAGGGTTAATATGTAACAGTGAAGGTGGGGAATTGACCGAGCACATGTCTGGTGTCCCACTGCGAGTGTCAAGCTTATGGGGCTCACACAAACGTCTTCTTATGTCCGTGGGTCTATTTACTCATTTTTTGACGCTCACAATTACCATAAGCTATCTGAGGATCAAGGAGTGAAGGGATGGTTAGTCCTCCCATCACTCCCCGGTGTGATCGGGGTTCGATCTTCATCCCCAACACCCCTCCCGTGATAGGAGGGGCACTCCGTATCTTACCGTTTAAAAATAAAAAAAATTACTATACGCTATCATATTCAATGATATATGAAAACATAAAAGTGGTATATAATGGATGAGAACATTTGCATTAAGATGGAGTTCAAAATTTGGTGAGCCGGATCGAGCCCTAGTTCAGGCTAAGACTTTGAGATTAGAGAGGGTAAGGGATTCCCACCCATAAAGTGTTCATATACTATTTTTAATGGCATTGGTAGTGAATTTATAAATGTTGTTAAGTGGTTTTACATCCTCAAATTTCATTTTTTTTTTCTATAAATTGTCACTACCATTGATTGACAATGATATTGAGTAATATTGTACTTAAATTTTTAAAGTAAACTCGTGTTTAGGGATATTTATTATTCCGGTAAATGCGATGAGTATATATACATGGTGGAAACAATTTTTAAGGAACATATATGAATTAGCTTTCTTATATATAAATCACGAAAAGTAATTATAGTATTATGTGTGAATAGTGTAAAAAGATAAAGAAGCGCAATAAGTATTGAATGATGTTATCTGAACCATGTTTGAGCAATATAACAAACAACAATATTATATACTTAGTAGAGCACTTGGTAAGGCTATTGTATTAAATTAAGAGGCTGCTATTCGATATTTGATTGGAGGCATTTATATAAAAAGTGGTACGTTAATTGCATGGTAACATATAGTTGTCATACTGATTTTTCTATGATATGGTAGCAGAATATTATTGATGTGGAAGTCAGGGTCAATTATAGGCAAATTGAAGGCTTAGTTTACATCAGTTAGCCGATGCTTATATTTCCAAACATTTGAAAATGAGATTTCTACAATGAAGTAGACCTGAAAACCTCTTGATGTTTTCTTGGAAAATAATTGTTCGTTTCTCCTTTCAAATTAGATTTCAAAATCATACTCATTATTAGTGTGTCCATACTTTCTAAATTTAGTACCTCACTAGCTAGCTAGCATAGTAGCATCTGTTTTATTTACCTTCAGTTTCAATTATTTCAAACATAAATAAATTCAAGTGACATAAGCTTATGAAAAATCATCAAATTCAAGTATATGTTGGTAAGTTATTTGAACTTGTTGTAAAATGGAATACAAATTGCGTATTTCATATATCTAAATAAACCACTTGTGATATCATAAAAAAACATAATTATTGATGAGCTGCATTAATATGGCTGCATAAATATACACTTGTATATATATATCTGATTCATGGTCATTGATATAGGCTATATATATGAACACATGAACGAACTAATCATACCAATTTCTTAATAATTCATCAACAAATATTTCCATCTAAAAGAAAAGTAAAAATATTGATTTGTTTAGGCAAATAAAAATATCTTACAATAAAGTAAATACTTAACTAAAAATAGAAAAAGCACTGCCTCTAACCTGGCTATAAGAACCAACAATAATTAAATACACATCAAAATCACAAAAACAGAACAAAATTCACTAATACAACCACAAACAAAACAAGCCCACCTTGAATAGAGCTAGTAATACTTCTCAAAGACGAGGCCGAATCTGGGATCATATATGGCGTGGTACCGGAGGCGGTGGTGGGATAGACGCCGGTGGTGGTGGTAGGTGTAGTGGAAGGAGCAGCAGTAGTAGAAGTAGTAGGAGAAGTAGAAGGAGAACCAGAAGCTAAGACATTAACAGAAAGTTTCATGCCACTACCACAATGACCTAAAATAGCACAAATAAAGAAATGTGTCCCAGGAGTTTGGAGTAGAATTGAAGTAGTGCCTTTGTTGTCAGTGCTTATTGAATTCCCAATTGTGCATGTTTTGTAGTCACTTTGCTTTACTTCATCCACTGTGTGTCCACTTCCATAATTGAACACTGTCATGCATCAATTTGTCCCCAACTTTATATCATCAAATTTAATGATAATTATAATAAACAAATAGATATTTTTATAATTTTTTTTTTTTTAAATAATGTTATAATTCCTTTTGGTCTATATGAATTAAAAATTCTGACAATAGCTGTAATAATGAATCATATATACGTGTATGCTCCATCATTTTGGAGATTCTTCTTCAAATTTGATTAATATTATAATGTAGTCATTTTGTTTAAGAATATAGCAGAAATCATGAATTGGCACAATTTTACTAAATAACCTCTTGATCGTAATAGTGACATAGTATTTTTATTGAATTTAATCATCAGCCAACTTTAGAAAATAGTTCGTACATACATTTCAACATTTCATGTTAACAAACTAGTCACTACATTCTTTGTCTTTGTAAAATTCTAACTTAATAAATTGGTGACTCTTATGTGATTTAGATGATATATATACGAGTTAAAAATTTTGATATGCTAACTAAAACGTTTGATTTAGAGGTAATGTAAGGAGAAAATGAAGAGAAACTCACCTAGGCTATCACCAACGACGAATGTCTTAGAAGCAGCCCAAGTGCCATAATCAACCCCAATTGTCCATCCACTCGAGTCACCCACTGTGTACACAGTTGCTAAGCTTCGCACTGCCAAGCATAGCACCACTAACGCAATCCTAGCCAAATTTCTGCCCATCATAATTATGTTCGTAAAATTAATATAGTTACTTAATTAGATAGAGAGTGAAAGATTAGAGAGATTATGGTAGACATGCTAACATTTTTTGTACAATGGAAATATTCATGGTTTATGGTGGTTTATATAGTGGTGGAAAACTACTAAAATGATTATTTGGTAAGTGTTTTGGTTTACTTAAGATTTACTCCTCTCTTTGTACACTTAAAGGTACTCAATCATTACCATAAAAGTAAATTAAATTCTACTTGTATCTGTCAATTAAGACCAATACCAAAATATACTAGGATAAAAAAAAGTTGTACTCTTAGATTAAGTTTATAATCACATACTTATTGATAGTACTACTAATCCTATTGTATGATTTGCTAGACATTTGTTACGAACAGTAATAGAAAAATAACTAGATAAGGGACCAAGGGGGGCAAATTTTGCATATATAATGCCCTTCTTTAAACCAAAGCAATATTAAGTTATTAAGTAAATACAACTTATAATTTTGTTTTGTTCATCATGCAAAATCATGATAAGAGACAGTCTTACAATAATTCATTATGAGTGTAACTTTCTACGAAACTACAAAATTCATTATGAGTGTGATAGTATTACTTTGTACGTATTTTTTCACAAGGTTTTACAATAATTTAGTGTGAAACCGTTTGATCCAAATTGAAATGTTTGAATTTTATGTATTTTTGGATCGAAGTGAATATCAATCGAAGAATATTATTGTTGAATTGTCAGGCCATCATAAGTAAATAGAAAATTTGGTGAAGATATGACTTGATACAGCTATAGATACTGATTAAGATCGACCAAGTAATTACATGGTCAATTAGGTCTTGGTTTTGATTACTAAAGCAGCTAATCACCTCATTTTCACTGTTAGAGAAGTTATAAAATCACTAATAGACTTTTACATGCATTGATAAGTGAAAGATTTATGGAAATGCTTTCAAAGAGCAAAAGAAAAAAGAAATTTTAAAAGGGAAACGACTAACTGTTTGCTTCAAAAGCCAGCATCTATCACCCTTTATATTTTCCAAGGATAATATGGAAAATCTGTTGGGGGATGGACTTCAATTATCACGCTCGTATCAATAAATCAGTCCAATTCAGTTGTTGCTTAAATATGTGTTAATAATATTTTTGTAATTTTGTTTTCTTCCACCGATACAAAAACATCATATCGAGTCACCTCTAAATCACCTTACGTGTTATTTTAGGGGTAACTTTATTGGATTTGATGTTATAGCCCCCTATTGTGTATAGAAGAGAAAGACATTGATATAAACGAGATTCTATTCCATCAAGTTGGAAATTCATCTTTCAGATCAAATATTTACAAAGTGAACTAGCTAGAACCTGGATACGCACGTACATGTAATATATACTTCCTGGTAAGGAGTAAATGATAGGGTTTAATGTTTAACATAATACACCTTCCATTTATTAGGAGGGGATGAATTGACATTATATGTATTTACGATTGCTTAAACCCTAGAGATACTAGGCCCTTGGGGCGCTGATGCTGATGCCTAAGCCAAGTCCGTCCAAGGCATGGAAATTGGGCGTTGCTGCCCAAGTCAAGGCACGCTATGACCTAGGTAAAGGGGTGAGGCATGTGCATAAAAATATGTCATCCTTAGTACACCTATTTTTGACAATTAAGGGCAGTGTCGCCTTCTTGGCCAAGCCAAGACAAGGCCAGGGCAAGGCAAGACCAACTCAAGGCAATAAGGCGGCCAAGGCAAGACATCTTAACACATGCTAAAAACGGGTGGGTCAAGACACGGATGAGATGGTTCTGGGCACCAAGTAGGCTTCCTAGTGCCCTTTTGGAACCCTGGAAAGCCCCCGATGCATATCCTTGCCGGGTCTAAAAATGTTTCCAACTGTCAAATACAAAAGTTATAATACATGAAATCGGACCATTTTCAAGATATTGGGACTCAGTATCGAAAACTAAAGTGATGGTAGGGGAGGCATTGTAAATCACAGTATATGTTCATTGAAAAGTGTATGAATAGTGTTAAAGTATACATTGTGCAACAAAAGAGGAACCAAGGACATATTTTGTAACACTCCACAATAACTCAATAAGTGCAAGTCTACATGCTTCAATTAACGGCAATACACAAGCTCACATCATCACATGGGTTTCGGACGTCGAAATTTGACAATCCCAGCCCACTTTACAAACTGTGTATACATATTCTTCGTGGGTATAATGTATCCCAATTTAAGCCCAATGGGACCTACTACATGAGTCTTAGCTCCATGATTTAATCATAGTTGCGTTTACTAATGTTCATTAACGAGTAGTGGGTTGCTTCAATTGCTTGTCTTGGTTTTCCTACTCATGTTTTGATTTTTCATCACCAACCTAACACTTATCTTGTTTTTATCCAACTAAATCATCAAGCAACAAACGAAGTATTTATCGTTTTAGACCGGGATATCAGGCTTACAGTCTCTTTCAAAATCCCGGACAAGTATAGTACTCACTTTGTATTAATTGTTTGCTTCATTCTAAGTTCAATAACTTCGATCGTTATTCCCATTGATGTCATTTTTTCAACTTTTAACCACAACCTTTCAAGATCCAACTTTAATCAAACCCGTAACTTCAAAGTATAACAATGAAAATATCAGTGAATCTAGTGGGCAGAATTTATTCAAAAAGCATCTATCTTAACAAGGGCAAAAGATACAGTGCTACAATTGCTGTCAAAGCACCCCCCAATTTATCTGGGTCGATAACTCTAATCCTTGCCCAAACAGTGCCATATGATACAGCAGTTACACCAATTTACAAAATACAGGGCTTTACAGGGACGATTTTGGTATCTAACTGCAAACATGCAATATGCTATTTATGGCTGTAATGCATCCACATAATGTTATGTTTAACTGTAATTCTAAGCATTTGATCGTGTACTCAGCGCATTTCAGTGCACATAGTCAGGGTAAGCAGAGCGACCATTGAGCACAATGTATGAGGAACTTCCAAGCTCTGTATGTAAGCGCCATAATGCTAAAATCCAATATACTGCTTAACCTTGTCCTCTTAGTAATCCATTCAGTCAGACACTATAAGCTTTACATCATCGAATGACAGCCTGCATCAAAGGTTTTAGTGTTTAGTTTTTTTGATAAAGCATCAACAGCTGCAACACACTTGACCTCAAGGTACTTTACAACAAGAGATGTAACAGGGTACCATTCTTGGCCTCAAAGGTAACATACTTTGCAACAGGAGATGTAACATACAATATCTCTGACTCTAGAAGTCTAGGATAAGGAGCTTGTTCCTTCCCATTAACCTTTTGTCCCATCAACAAGCAATTGTTCTTCATGTTTTCTCCTAAAGATTGGGGCATCCCAACTTTATACTGGCCATTAGCATCACCCTGAGGTGTACTAGAAAGATCACACTATGGAATTAAAACCTAGGTATGAAAAGAAACACAAGCAACGATGCTCAAAACTAGAAAATGTGAATTTTAAAAACTAGAAGGCTTATGACCAAAAGGCTTGCAACATAATATACAAAACAAGTCAGATTTGTATGTAGATTGCAATCACAAATTGATGTGCAACAAATTAAACTTCTATGATCTTTGTGATACAAGAAAAATGCAGAACTCATAATGATACATGAATAATTTCATGTCAAAACCAGACGAGAATTCCTTTAGGTCACTAACTCACTACTCTAAAGATAAGCACAAGATAAAGGCATTCCTCGAGGGCTCGAGGATCAAGTCCAAAAGCAAGGGGAATCTTTATAGGATGGAGACATATTGTGGGTCTGATTTTTGGTAGTTTGATTGGTTTAGGAAACTAGTTATTTGTTTCCTTACATTGTTTACTTACTGTATTCTAGAGTATATAAAAGTTTCCTAATAGTATTTAGTCGTTTGCTCAATCTCCAAGTTTACAAGCTAGTATATATTGTAACACATTTCTGCTAGATAATCCAAATCAATTGAAATATTTTCCCAGAATTTTTACAGAGCATCATGGGCGATAGCTTGGGGTTGCTAGAGTGTGATATCCAAGATAAGCATTGCAGAAAACGTAAGAAGCTGCTTTGGCTGCCAGTCTATTGAGCTTGGCCCAGGTTTGTCACTTTCTTAATCATTTATATACAGGACACCAAAAGGTATTGACAGACTCTTCCAAAGTTCATAACTCATGACTGTGAGACTACTATCTGGAAAACTTGCAGTCACTATATTGCTTCAACATTACAGGTCTCCATAACCAAGCCCCAGCAAAGGCCATGACTGACGAATCAGATACCTTTCTGGATGTCATAAGATCCCAAAGTTTTCCAAAAAACTAGCAATTAAAATCACATATGACATGCAATGCAAAAATGAAGTGACCCCTACAAGCCTATGCCCCAAGCCTTGCCACCCTCTCAATGGAAAAAAGCTGGCCAAAATAACTGACATCCTTTTCAGGGTTACTCAATGGCCATTGGAATCATTAATAACACCAAACCAAGATTGATTGCTTAGAGGCCTTAAGTTATACCTGTTTGACTCATACTAGACAAGAATCCCAAGATAGAAGACCTCAACAAAGAGAAGCATGCACAACCACAAATATAAGTTATATAATGTGAATCATACAAGACAAGATGGAGGATCTCAACAAAAAGAAGCAGACACAACTACAAATACCATCAAGGGTTATGGACCCTTAAACACGAATTGGCGTTGACAGATGCCATCTTCAAAAAATCAAAAGCCATTTGTGACATCCATGAGAGCCTGAGTGGTCCGTTTGGTAGTAGCCAGTAGGTAATTATTGGCAGTACTGGTAATCTGTATTACTTCCTCCGTTTCATATTAGATGACACGTTTCACTTAGGCACGTTTGTCAATGCATACTTTCTAATGCAAATATCCTTGATTACATATTAGCAAAAATTTAAAAATTTTGATATTTAAAAAATAGATGTTGAGATGAATCTAACAAGACCCAACATGACTATTTTTCTCAATCCGAAATTACAAAATGAAGTCAACGTAAGTTATGTGAATAGTGCACAAAGTCAAAGTGTGTCATCTAATTTGGAATGGAGGAAGTATGTATTTTTGTAAAGAAGTCCCATGCCAATACCCCTGATGATAAATATGTTAAATGAAAAAAAGGAGTCATTCAGGGACAATTAAAATTCCATCACTACCTCTAATAATGTGTTTTTCCCATAAGTTTCCATTACTACCTTAATAATGGATGGTAATAAAATTGAAGAAATGGAATCATTCAAGAGTAGACAATCATTACGATGGACATAGACATAGAACTTTCTATAAATTTGCATGTATTAACTATCATTACCACAACTAATAACTGACACCAAACGAGCCATAAAGGTCCTTGCAAGGAATTTCGAGAATAATTGAAGAAGGGATAGCCTGACAACAGATAGCACTTGATCATGAATAAGTTGCCACCGGTAAAGGCCATAAATCATTGTTGGAAGGCCCTTTTCAAACAACTTCAGAAAGTCTAACCTAAAAAACAGAGAAGCATCTCTGGCTCTAAAGTTAAAGCAATTACTCCACATCGCCTGAATGCATATAGGTTATACATAATAGTATAGTACAGAAGATACTATAACAAACTTGAGCTATGCAACACCTATCTTTAATGCACTCAAGCTATGAAATACTTTCTAGAGCCAATAAAGTGTCTACGGGAAAAACAGGGAGAAAACATTTTGCTTGACAATCAAGACTGTAAATGACACAAGACACAGGTATAGAGCACAATTTCTTTGATGTTACCCTCTATATGATTGGAACAATTTCTTGACAAAATTCTCCTAAACAGTCTCCAATGATATCATGCGTGGTTCCATTTAAGTTGCTGGTTCCAGAATAGCAAAAATCAATTGCTAAAACTCCCAGTCTCATCTAATAGGACACTAATGAAGTAACAAGGCAGGCAAACAGTCTCGACAGTTACTAAGTGTTTCTGGAAATAGACTCCTCCTAAGCGTGTTAGGGTATTTCGGGTATATCAAGATGTCCTACAATCTATGTCCAATTGTCCAAAAGTCTGAGAGCTCCGCCTTGCAAAGGTATGTCCGAGGGCTCCGCCTTGACGTCTGATAGCTCGGCCTGAAAGAGAAGGTTAGCTGCCCGGGGGTATGACCCGGAAAAGCCCTTCGATGCTTAAGTCAGCGAATTTACTTTCTAGAGAGAAAAAGTAGAGAGAGAAAGTAGAGAGAAAAGGAGAGAAAATTAGAAAAAGTTCCCATCATTAATGAAAGATGAGCTGTTTATAGTTGTACTTTCAGGTGGCAAACTTGTACTTGATTGGATAGATTAAGGGCAAATCCGTACTTTGTAATGATTAATGATGGCCTGAATCATGAAGGGGTATTTTCGTCATTTCAGGTCACTGGGCTTAGGACATGGACTAGGCCCAAACATTTAGCCCCACGCGTGATGTGTGAACGAGATCGCATGAAGTTCGAATGTCACGCGAAATGAGTAAAATTGAGGCTGAGAGGCTGTCATGTGAGTCGGAATAGCTTTTTAGGCGTACCCAAGGGCTAAAACGAGCCCCAAGCGACTTGCAAGGGTGAAGGCCAGCCCAAAACAATGCATAAGAGATGTTTTAGTTATTGGAGCTGAGAGGCTGAGAGGCTGTCATGTGAGTCGGAATAGCTTTTTAGTTATTGAGGCTGAGAGGCTGTCATGTGAGTCGGAATAGCTTTTTAGGCGTACCCAAGGGCTAAAACGAGCCCCAAGCGACTTGCAAGGGTGAAGGCCAGCCCAAAACAATGCATAAGAGATGTTTTAGTTATTGGAGCTAAGTTGTTGTAAAATAGTTTGAGAGGGAAGCATGATAATAAATAACGGCTTGTTGATAGTAGAGAGCATGTCAGATCATGATGATATATAGAGAGGTATGCCTTATGCATAGCCGAGAGTATGACTTGTTTTGGTTTTCGGCTAGGCTTTACACCGAAGGATAAATGATGATGATTAAATACTTAATAGCTTGTAAGTAAGCTTAATTTGACATTAGGAGTATAATTAGGCAAAAAGGAGAAATGAGCCCATTTAGCTTTAGGATTTGGTGATCCACCTTTCTTCCAATTCCTTCATATCCCACGTGCCTTATTTATCTTATGCAAATAACTAGAGCTCTTCACCTTTTCCTTCCACTTTAGAGAATTAATTGCCGCTGTTTGGAATTTCCTGACTAGTAGGCTAGAAATCTGGGGGCTATGCTCGAAATTCAAGAGCTTTGCTTATTTGCTTTTTCTCTTCTTCTTCTTTTTTTATTTTTTTTTATTTTTTTTTATTTTTTATATTAACTTGATAAGGCTAACTGGATGAGAGCTAAGCCGGTAAGACTGTCGAAGGATCTGCTAGTAGTATTGCTAGGGGCTGAGCATGTTATCACTGACCCGAAAGCACTTTTATTTCTTTCCCCTTCCGAAGTCCGAGAGCTCCGCCTTTCTTTATTTTGAATTATAAAGATATCAAGAGATATGTTGATGAGTAGACTATCCACCCAATCCTTGAATTCAATTTGATGACTTTGATTGATTAATTTTTCATAATTGCTAAAAGACACATTCTATTCTCCCTACTTGAGTGTGCCGAGAAGATGGACGAGCTAAGGCATGATGCGAGGCCGAGAATCAAGTAGAGCACAAAAAGTGAGTGCCGAAGGCCTGTAGAATTGCTGAGGGCCTGACCGGTGTGATGCCGGGAGAATCGTTGCTAGGGAATTCCTCAACTCTGATATTTGATTTGATTTTTGATTTTTTTTTTTAAATAACGTCAAAACTAAGAAAAACCAAGTGTTCATTTGAGGGCTACAATCGAAGGCCTATACGGGGTTAAGGGACTGGTCGATCTTGCGTAGCTGATGTTTTCTTTTTCTTTCGCTGATTTGCCGAGGGCTAGGAGAGCAAGGTGTATGAGGTCGAGAGCTAGGATTGACGGAGGGGTTTAGGCCGAGCGCTCGGCATACACTAGAAACCCGACTTATCTTTTTCTTTTTGTTTAAAATGTCGGGCCAGGCTAGGCTCGCGTTGAGAAGGTGTATCAGGCAGCCCGAAGGGTGTCACGGAAGTAGCAGGCCGAGAAGTGGCTTGTCTAAGAGCCTTGGCTTGGTGTAGAGAGTGATGAGCGTTGGGTAGTTGGGTAATACTTGCCGAGGGGGTAGATCTAAGTTTGCGAGGCCGAGCGGAGGGAGTATGCTATGACGGCCGAGCATTGGGCCTAGCCTAGCTGAGAGATACGTTGACTAAAAAGGCAAGGCCGTGAGCCTCAGTGGCATGTGATTAAATGAGTTTGGGGTAGTGAAATGCGCTGAGAACCTCGGGTTAGAAATAGTTATGAGGGCTTGGGGGTATGGATGAGAGGGATGAAACCCCCGGGTATGTGAAAGAATGTTAAACCCCAGAGCATTATTCCTTGGCACTCTATACCCCAAGCGGAAGGACTTTGTGAATAACCCCAAGCCTTCATACCCCAGGCAAAGTACTTTGAGAAATTAACCAAGTGACTTATACCCCTAGGTACTTTGAGAAATAAACCAAGTGACTTATACCCCCAGGCGGGAGTACTTTGAGAAATAAAAAGCCAAGAAGCTTTATACCCCGGGCGGAGGGAGGCGATGCTGAGAGGGTGATTTAATAGGCAGAGCGGAGGGAGGCCAAGCTGAGAATAATTTAATAGGCTAAGCAGAGGGAAGCCAGGCTGAGAGAATGATTAAATAGGCCGAGCGGAGGGAGGCCAAGCTGAGAGAATGACTCAATAGGCCGAGCGGAGGGGGCCCAAGCTCAGAGTGATTAAATAAGCCAAGCAGAAGGATGCCAAGCCGAGAGAGTTTATTGAAACGGCCGGGCGGAGGGAGGCGAAGCTGAGAGAGTCACTTGAATAGGTCGAGCCGAAGGAGTTAAGGGCCAACTCTAGGCTGAGGGATGCCGAGGGCTTGGCTTGTCATGCTGATGGCCAAGTCCACTCTAGGCCGAGGGCCTTGCTTCAAGTACCAAGAGTGTGCTCGAGCTGGGCCAATTAGTCAAGAGTTCGGCATGCATTATCTTTGCTAAAAATGACCAAAGGTTAAGGGGTGACATAGATAAGTCGGGAGCTGAGCCTAGGATAGCGAAGCTGAGAACCTGGGGTATGCCTTGCTTTTGAGTTTGTCACAAACCCAAGAGATTTTTCTTTTTCTCCTAATTGAAATATGCTTAATGTTTTGTTGGCTTGGCTTGATGATTATTTCTAACTTTTGAATTTTGTTGATGTTATAGGATCTGGTCCCAGGGTGCGCTTGACTTGCATTGAAGAGATCCTCCGGCCTTAATTTTTAGACATTTACTTTCTTTGTGATGTATTTGGATATGTTGACTTGTACTTGCATCATCCCTTTTATGTATGAGACTTTTATTCTGACTTTGTAATATGTTCATGCCCTTCCGCTTGACATTCCTCTTTGTTGGCTTACGGTTTACTTATCTTGATGATTCTTCATGAATTATGAAGTACCGAGGGGCTAAAAGCCCCGAGTAACTCTATAGTGAGGGCTGGGCACGCCTCTATCTCAAATATTGTGATAGTTGAGGGTCAATGAGCCCCATGTTTAAATGAGAGTTGAGCAAAATGCTATCTCAAATCTTAAGATAAGCTTAGGGCTAAACGAGTCCTAAGTTAAAAATAATGAAAGAACGGTATGCTATTTTCAACATTGAGATAGGATAAAGGCTGAAGAAAGCCTCTTGATGAAAATAGATGAGTGATATGCTATTCTGCTGAGGGCACGAGCCCTATGTTATTGTTATAAGAAAGGTACACTATCTCAAATCTTGAGATAGGCTGACGGCTAAACGAGCCCCTTGTTATAGATGAATAAGAGGTAGGCCATCTCAACTCTTGGGTTGAGCTGAGGGCTAAACGAGCCCCTTGTTATAGATGTATGAGAGGTAGGCCATCCCAACTTTTGGGTAGGCTGGGCTAAACGAGCCCTTTGTTATAGATGTATGAGAGGTAGGCCGTCCAAACTTTTGGAATGAGCCGCAAGTTAAAGATGTGAGAGAGCTAGGCTATCCCATCTTTTGGGATAGGCTGAGGGGCTAATTAGGCCCAAAGTTAATGATGTATGAGAGCTGAGCTATCCCAACTTTTGCGATAGGCTAAGGGCTAAACAAGCCTTTTGTTATTTTAGCGATTTGCCAGGACATTATCTCAAAACATTGAGTATAGGCTAGCATCTGGCCCCAAACATTGAAACAAACTTGTTATTGGTAACGTTAGTTAGCGACCCGGGGTGTCCTATATGTAGGGAGGCCCGGTGCTTTTTGAGAATAGAGCTGAGTGAGCTCCTGAGCGCTTAGAGCTGTTGGCGGCTGTGTAGTTAAGAAACCCGAAAAATGAGATATAAAGAAAAAGTACTAAGTAAATGAAACTATCAATGTAACAATGCAAGCTTGGGGGTAACTTGTCTTATTGCTGGACTTTTTAATTACATAATTTTGATTCTTACATGCTCTATTAAAAGAAAAGATCTCCTATTATCAGCTATTATTGCCCCTATGGCATCATTGTATGATGAGAGTTGCTCAAACACAAAACCATCTTAAGTTAGACATTCCAAGCATGTTGGTTTCCGGCTCAGCCATATAAATATTCATGATTGATGGGGAGGGAGAGCGGAGGGCCTTGCCATTTGGAACTTGTGAGCGAAAGACCCTCGAGTGAGTGACCTCCTTGATCTTGTAAGGTTCATCTTCAAGAGGGGTGCTTTCATCTTAGCACAACCCTCACCCAGGCATGCCAAGGGATTGGTAGAAGCATAGCCCTCGGCTAGGCATGCCGAGGGCTTGATAGAAGCATATCCCCCGGCTAGGCATGCCAAGGGGTTGATAGAAGCATAGCCCTCGGCTACGCATGCCAAGGGGTTATAGCAGCACATCCCTCGACTATGCATGCCGAGGGGTTGATCGGAGCATAGCCCTCGGCTAGGCATGCCGAGGGGTTGATATAACTCATAGAAGCATAGCCCTTGGCTAGGCATGACGAGGGGTTGATGGATGCATATCCCTCAGCTAGGCATGACGAGAGGTTGATAGAAGCATATCCCTCGACTAGGCATGCCGAGGGGTTAATAGAAGCATAGCCCTCGGCTAGCCATGTCGCGGGGTTGATCGGAGCATAGCCCTCGGCTAGGCATGCCGAGGAGTTGATAGAAGCATATCCCTCGGCTAGGCATGCCGAGGGGTTGATAATAGCATATCCCATAGAAGCATAGCCCTCGGTTAAGCATGACGAGGGGTTGATAGATGCATATCCCTCGGCTAGGCATGACGAGGGGTTGATAGATGTATATCCCTCGGCTAGGCATGACGAGAGGTTGATAGAAGCATATCCCTCGACTAGTCATGCCGAGGGGTTGATAGAAGCATATCCCTCCGCTAGGTATGCCGAGGGGTTGGTAGAAGCATATCCCTTGGCTAGGCATGCCGAGGGGTTGATCGGAGCATAGCCCTCGGCTAGGCATGCCGAGGGGTTGATAGTAGCATAGCCCTTGGCTAGGCATGCCGAGGCGTTGATAGTAGTATAGCCCTCGGCTAGGCATGCCGAGTGCTAGGAGGAGTCTGTTTCCAGAAACACTAAGACATCCAACACTTGACCACAGGACCATTTTATAGCCCCAACCGCAGCAACAGGTATTAGCATAGCATAACTCAGTTCAATATCTCATTCAGGACTTGCCAATATATGAAATCACAAACTATCCACACTTCCCAACAAAACCCATTTTTAGACTAACCATGCATGCATTGTTTTATTTACCTACCATCATTGGGCAGGTTACCCACACGCCAATGATGCAATCTCCTAACAAACCATTTTCCCTGTTTATTTTTCTCCCTCTTGATCATATGACCCTATCCCATCTCCATTAGAAATTCTGTTTCGTCAATCATTACCCCTGCCTTTATAGCTTCATTCATCCCCATCCCTACAATTTTTGGAAAGATGTTCTTTAAGCTCACAATTATTGGCACAAATAGACTAATGTATAAAAAAAGCTCAAGGCGCACTAATAATTGGCATGATAGCTAAGAATGGTGTACCCTTGGCAGGACTGAATTTGTGGATAAGCGGATCAAATTTTACATCAGCAGTATAACTTTGACAGTGTTTCTGAACCCAATCAGAACAAAGGGGGAGGAGGAGGAAGGGGGGGGGGGTAGAACTGGTAAAGTAGCAAGTAAACCAATCAAACCCATGGTAGGAAAGGGAGATGTCTAGTAAAAAGAAACTAGAAAATATTCTAAAATAACTTAAATAAAACAGGAATCATGAAAGTGAAAGGCAATAGAATATCAATCAAGTTATCGAGGAAAAGATTTGCACTTGAATGACATCTATATATTATTTTTGAAGCATTCAGTTATGAGCTTACCTTCTCAACAAGAGAGTTGATGCAAACACAAAATTGATAGTGCCTCCAATTCTTCATTATTACAAGTTATCAAGTGTCTCTGTTTGCTCTGAATCATGACTAGAATCAGCAGGCTGGTCTTCCCCATCCTCTGGGAGGGAATTCAATTCTGATTCAAGTTTTACGAATCTATTGCTACGTGCTAGTCTGATTGGTCTCCCCATCAGCTCCTGCAAAAAGAAACCAACATTCAGGAGTAAAAAGAATTCAATACGAAGGAAAATTAAAGAAAGAAAGGGAGGAAACATGTGTGAAACTAATAGATATAGCTAAGAGATACAATAAAAATACTGAGTAATACCTTCCCATCAAAAGTAGTGAGGGCATCATCGGCTTCTTTCTTAGTCTTAAAAGAAACAAATCCATATCCAGATGATTTTCTAGGGTTTTCATTAAATATGACCTCAGCTTTAGCAACTTCACTACCACCAGACTGAAAAAATTCCTTAAGGTCTTTAGACCTTGTAAGATAAGATAAATTTGCCACAAACAGGTTGTAAACAACAGGTTGCTTAGGTTGCACAGGAGGAGATGCTTTCGCCTTCTTTGGCGTAGCATAAGCTAGCCTTAGAGTTCGACCTTCATACTCCTGCAAAACAGCATGCATGAAGATGTATCATAATATCACAAGATGAAGTTGGGAACTTTGACAAGAGTTATAGGTATAACCATACAGGACAGGATAAGAAAGCTGAAAGGACTTAACAACGAAGAAGGAAGCCAATACTGAACAGAAATTAGTGGAATAGGATAACATGCAACATTCATGGGAACAACATCATAAAACGAGTTATCTCATTTACTCACAATGAATGTATTAAGGACATCCATGTATACCAATTCACCAAACGAAAGAAACCAAAATCGAAAGAAGCAATCTCCAATAACAATGACTCTTCTTTACCAGCAAGACAGCAACTATAACTTCATTGGCAGATCGAGAGATTAACATGCAAAAATTATTAATTCTCCACCATCAAAAGTTGCAACTTCAGTTTATTTGAAGCTTTTAAGAGTTCAAAATTAATAAAAATCTCTGTTCCCTTCTAATTTGAAGTTAACTAATTTTCGAAATAACAGGGACGCAGTTGATTACTCAATACTCACCATGAAGGCCATGTAGGTCCGTCCCATAGCTGTGAAAGATGAAAATCACTCTAAACAAATTAATCCACGACCTTTTCGCTTTTTCCACTATATCAAATAAGATTATATCCTAATGCTATAACATACTCGTATTAACATTACAAGTTCATTATTAAAGACTGATTGCAATTGATCAACCCTTACTTAAAAAAAAAAAAAAAAATGCGAATAAAATTAGCCAGTTTTGTCAAGAAAACTCCCAAAATTGCATTGGATTACTTCATCAAGACAAATTAGAATAATATTAAGAAAAATTAGACCCTAACATAATCCAAAATTGTAAGTTCTTCACAATTTAGGAAACAAAAAAGAGAAAAAAAATTAGGTCACAATAATTAATGTTTCTTACATAAGCTTCGAGCTTAGCAAGAGCTTGAGCAGCTTCTTCCTCAGAACCCATTTCAACAAACGCCAATCCCCTGTTCCTCGCTTTATTATGCATCGGCAACTTCAATCAAAACCCACAAAAAATTCCTCAATTAATCCCAAACTTAAAACCCAGAAAATAAAAAATGAAGAACAATTAAATAAAAATTAAAGGGTATTAAAAAGATAACCTCAACATCGACAACAGTGCCATAGTTCTGAAACAAAGCACGAATGTCATCAGCAGTTGATGTCCAAGGGACGTTTGAAGCAAGCAATCTGGTGGGACATATCTCTTTTTCCGGGGATTCTGAAGATGGGTTTTCAATGGCGAGAATTGCAGAAGAAGAAGGGGAAATGTGGGTGAGGCGGGAATTGCGGCGGAAAGAGAGGAAAGAGGGTTTAATTGAGGAGAGAGAAAGGGAAGGAAAAGAGGAGAACGAATGGGGTTCGAGGAGAGAGAAAGAGGTTATTGGTGAAGCGAAGCACAGAGAATGGAGTTGCGCCATTTTTTGTTAGTGTGTGAGTTTTCTGGGTAAAGAGGAAGAAGGACAGTGGATAAGGAAGTTCAAAGATTTCTTTCTTATGCTAAAACTCTATAAATACTCCATTCTTCCAAAATTAATCATCACATTTGACTTTTCATAGTAATTCAAAAAATGATTACAGAAGTCAAATGACTCAAATCTTACCGGATTAAAATTTGATTATCCGTTTAGAGCTGGCAAAAGCTGACAGGATATGACAATACGAATGAACCGATCATGAAAAGAACATACTAGTGTAAAGAGTTTATGACATGTTTAATAAAATTATCAACACGACGTTACGACACGACACATTTAATTATATAGGCTGAGTAGGTATTGAGATTTCTAACTCGAGACTAACATGAGTTACAGAGTAATATGATTAGTATGAAGGGTTTTGATAGGTTTAATTATATGGGTTAACACCACACATCACGTTTAATTAAATAAGTTGAATTAGTGGTGATATTCTCCAACACGCTTATCTTCAAACACAACACAAGTACAATTCTACACTGCATGACACATTTGTCAGCCACAAACTTTTATATGTGGCTGGCCACACCGTGTGGCCAACAATTATAAGGGTTACTTTGCTGGTGATATAGGGATTACTCACTCGATCAGGGGTTACTTGGTCGGTTAGGGGTTACTCGGACGATCAGGGGTTACTCGGTCAGGGGTTATTTGTTGATTAGGGGTTACTTGGTGTGTGTCAGCTGTGTGGCCAGCCGCACACAAAAGTTATTGTTTGTCGGCTCTACTTGTGTTTAACTATGAGTAGTTTTAGTATAAGAAAAGGCATTACCAAATATATGTGGTATTGTTGGTTTATTCAAATTCATATTTTCAAAATATAATTTTTATTTTCATATATAAATATGATCCCTATTCCCTCATTCCCTCTTCTTATTGTTTCATTCACACTATCTCCTTCATTTGCATGCCCCTAAGCCCCTCTTTCATGTAAATAGACAGGTGAGGAATTGGTAAGTGGCACATAAGGACAATATGGAATGTAGGCTTACAAAGGAGCACCTTTAGAATTCTTTCTTATGTTCCTTACTCTGAAGGTTTGCAGCTTCAAATGGAAAAAAACAAATAACGTTGTTTTGGCAATATGCAGTTATATGATAGAATGAATCATACATCAGAAAATCGATGAAAGAGAAAGCAGCTTTCTCTAATTAGTAATCAGTTTATACAAACATGTTTATAAGCTTTCTAAGATCAAGAATTCAATTTGAATTGTGGTGTCAGAAGCGCTATGAATTACAGCATTGGTGAGAGTTTACATATTCAGATTTCTATGTGCTACTCAACAATCTACAATTGTTGTTTTTGTTGCTGCTGTTGGTGCTGCTACTGCTATCACATCTTATGGGATTTGGAGCCAGGTGAGTTTTCTTTAAGCGGTGAAAGAGGACAGCGAAGGGTATCAAAATCATTAAAATCAATCTTCCGGTCAACTGGACTACTCGTCACAGGGCTGGTTTTTCTTTTATTGTTCTGCAAAATATTCAAATACGGCTGCATAAGATCTTCTGATCATATTTCTTTCTTTGATTGTTGAGTAATGACATAAGAGTACAGCTTATCTCTTACCTTAGTTTTGGCACTGCTATCATGTTTCCCTCCTGAATTAGCATGTTTCTTCTCAGATTTATACAACTTTAGCAGCCTTTTGTTTTCATCATCCAAGACATGATTTTCCTCAAATAGCACCCTCACCTACACAGGAAGCAATACAGTACACATCATAAAACACACTAGGATCACATTCAGACCAGTTAAGAATTCCAAATAAAAAATATACGAATACTTCATAATTTATGACGTCCATACCTCTTCTTCAGCTCTGTGTAGATTGATTGTTAAATGTTCTTTGTCCTTCTGCAGAGTCCGTACATGAGCAGCCAATGAGAGTATATTTAGGGTTTCTGGTCTCAAACTATCAAATAGAGAGATTCACCAAAGAGAGTAAGTCAGGAGAGTGAAAACTAGATTAAATTTAGCCACAGAACATGTACAATTGTAACCAATGTCGTGAGTCAAAACTGTGAAGGGGGGAGCTCACCTATTCAATGTGTTAAGCAACGCATGACATGTTTCAACCCCATTATTAGCCTCCAGAAATGCTGATGCTGTCTTTGCCACTTCATTTTTGTTTACTAAACTTGCAACCAGTGTGTTAAGTAATTTTTGCTCAGTCAATGTGCCATCCTTAGATGAATCAGCCTTCAGAAAAATAAATGTTCTGATAATGTTAGTACTTGCGAACAATAAACTCATGATTATTCTGCTACGGATTAGTTTAGCAAATTATCATCAAACATAACATGGGTTCCACCAAGTGTGAGAATTTCCCACTTACTACTTGTAGCATCTTGGAATCAGTATAAACCTGATTAAATTATCACATTACAGATATCATGTAAGCCAACACACATCCTTATTCATCACAATCTAAGTTCAGAAATTCAAGATTCAGTGACAAAGAATGTCATTTAACACACTATGCATGAATGCATCTACATTGACCTCAGGTAGTCTGCAGACTGCAGCTACACTCTTAAGGATAACATTCTGGTAACTAAATATCCAATTATGTATCTAGCATGAGTAGTTATGTAACACTTGTTAGAGAGGCTGCAAAAGAAGAATGAAAGTATCTCGTTTCTTTGAGTATATTGAGTACAAACATGTCTTCCGCCAAAAGGAGTGATCTTCCATATAATCAGAATGTACACTATGATTCACAGAAAAAATAAAAAGCTATGTTGAATTTTACCAAATTGCTCTATCTCTATGATGATAATTTCTTAGGTCTTATCAGTGAGGACAGTGACTAATAGTACCTATCTTAAAAGAACACAAGAAGCTAATGAAGGATGTGATCTGCAGAAGTCCATAACAAAGCAGACCATCCAACACAAATATCAACAAGGCCAAAATCAGTCCCTTACACTCAAATGAAAAAATTGAAGGCGGCATTATTACCACAAATTGATTGACCTCCAATTAAGTCCAATTGACCAATGTATAACAGCAACTACGAAATGTATGAGAACGTAACAACTAAGAAAATTGTACAAAACCCGAAAAAACTAAGCAAATTGGACCAAGGGCACACCAATGAGTGGCACTGACGACAACATTCTTGCACTACATTAATGTAATAAGAATCACAAAAATTACGTCTAGCAAGATTTACGCCAAAACCCAACCAAGGTTTCTTCTTTACTCAAATTATAAAATCTACATTCTATTTAATGATAACACTATCAGAAATTCAGAATCATACAGATTAAAAGCAATCAAACCCTACAACAAAACTTAGCAATTAAATTATACACACAAAATCAAATTAAATAAGCGCGAAAAAACTTAAATACTCACCGAAAGCATCTCACATTGATGCTTGTAGTAATTAACTTCTTCAGTAATCTGCTTCAATTCTTCATCCAATTCACTAACCCTAATTTCAGCCTCTTTCGCTCTCTCATCCGCCTCATTGCCGAACTCCATTAATGCCTCACGATCGTGATCATAAAGCGAACATTCTCTCTCCAATTTCGAACACTGATTCGCTAAATTCGCACATTCAGCCGCCAATTTCTGATTCTCCTCCACAAATTTCTTGATTGCTTGGGCATTCATACACGCTTCACCCTAAAAAAATCCAGAATTCCAAATCAAAACCCAGAATATCAAATCAAAACCCAGAAACAAAAACCCTAAACCACAAAAGAAGGGAAAAATCGTAAAACAAACCTTAGCAAGTTCAAGGGCTTGTTCTTTCTGCTTCAATTTCGAGAGAAGACTTAAATACTGATTCCGAAGAAGATGATTTGATGTTTCAAGCGATTGAACCTTCAATTTGAGGCATTCGTTGGGTAAAGAAAGTCCCATAGTATGGTCGATTGAATTTTTGATGAAATTATCGAGTTCTTGAGGAAGTTCCATTCTTGATCTTGTAAAACCCTAATCAAATTGGGGGTAATTCTTGGGTTTTGAAGATCGAAGATTTCCTGCAAATGGAGGGAAATTGAAACAAAGAGAGAAGAGAGAGAAAGAGAGAGGAATCCAAAAAGAAGAAGAGGGATTTGAAAAAAAAGGAAAATGTAGCCGTTAGTCGGTTTTTAAAAAGGGGTAGATTCAGTGTAACGTATACGGATGAAGAATATTACGTGGCATAATGAGGGTGAGATTGAATTGAGGAGTAAGTGATGACTGATGAGTAATGAGGAGTGAGTCGGCTACCAAAACAACAATGGTGTGACTCTAACGATAGATCATGTGGGTGGATGAATCGATGAATACATGGTTGTGTGAGCTGAGATTGATGGAACTAATGATGGTAATGTTAGGACCATTGTTATTAAAATTCCGATTTAAATCTTAGATTCTTACGATTTTACGATTCATGTAATTTATACGATTCGATTTATGATTCTATCGGATTCTACATATTTCTCATAACTAGCGAAATCCGTATAAGTTTAAAACATGCCTATATAGTTATTTTTAAATATATACTGTCAATTATTGGTTACTTAATGATAAACAACTATTTTCTATCAAGGTTTTAAACTCATAATTTAAATATATTTAATTAAATTTAGATATGACGTCTTGATCATGCATGTCGGTAGAATCTAATGATTCTATGATTCGATTTTACAATTCGATTTTGATAGCCCCTTCCGATTCAAAGTAGAATCTCAATTTTAATAACTTTGGTTAGGACAATGTTTCGGAATTCGGAAATTTGCTTAAAACTACAGAGTATGTATCAATAAATGTCGGTTTTTAGAGAATTTAAAAAACAGATATAAGTGTATAATACGAATTTGATTCTCATTGAGGGTTGGCTTTGGCAGAATCTTAGTCATATGGACATATGGTATATTTTTTGAGAGATATTGTCACGATTCGAGTGTTTTGATACCAGTGGCGGATCCAGAAAAAATATTTAACTGGGTTAAAATACATCTGACAAATTTTAGTGGGGTCAAATGGGTAATTTTAATAGAAGAAAAACTCAATT